ATTTAAAAAAAAAAAAAAAAAAAACTTTGTCTTTCTCTTTATATATTCCTTCCCTTTCTAGCTTGTACTTACAGTATATGAACAATGCCTAAAACTTGGTATTACAAGCACTTCCTGTGTCTGTTTGCCTCTTTAAGAATAATCGCTTTATGTATTCCCCAATTGTAAGTCGCTATGGATAAAAGGGTCTGCAAAATGACTAAATGTAAATGTAAATGTAATGACCAATATGCCCCCCCTGTCTACACACTCTTACTACACACAAGTAAGAGCTCATGTGCTTTTTACTTTTGAAATGGCGAAGATATTGGTAACAAAGAGAGCAAGACAAACAAATTAATCAGTGCTCGCTATCTTTACATATATAAAACATTTTTAGGCAATGTGTGGGAGTTATGATGGTTGTATTCTAACTAGAGGATGTCCAAAACTGGCTCGAACTCTTCTCCTCTGATGCTCTCTGCAGTGCACTATGACTGACTCTTTTTTACTGGGACCTGCTTATGTCTGCCCTGTCAAATTACCCCCTAACCCACTCTCACAACAGCAGCTGAGATTTTAGGCCACAGATGAAATTTTAAAGCATTAGAAAAGATTAGAAGGGAAACCCCATGAGAGAAAGAATAGGACTTTGCACTGTGGCACCGTCATTTTGTTTTTACTTTGTTACTGGACCACAGATTCCCAGAAAAAAAAAAAGGTAAGAGGTGGTGTGTGGGTCAGGTTTTGCTAATGTTGTGGGGTGCAAAAGAACTAAAAAGGATAGTAAAACTTGAAATATAATTAAAACCATCTATTAAAATAGAAAACAGTTCTTATTAATTGTGATAATATTTCACAATATTACTGTTCTTAGTGTATTTTTGATCAAATAAATAAAGCTTTGGTTATGTGACTTGGCCTTCTACTTACATTTATACTTTTCCTGGATGTCTGCTTTGCATAGAATAACCAGGCCCGTCTTGAAGGAGAGCACTCGCATCTTACCATTACGACCACTAGAGAAAGAAACACAAACACACATTTAAAAATTCACTGAGGTTCCTCTATATATATTGAAATTATCTTATCAATTAGTACAACTATGGAGTAACTACAGTGAGAGGCACCAAACAGGACTGAAAGGCCCTGCATCATGCTGTACAGTCTGCTCAATTCATCTCCATGTTAAATAAATAAATAAATACAAAATAATCATCCCAGCAACTTCCTCTTCTCACTAGTCATTAACAAGCTACCACGGATACAAGGTCAACATCTGAAGTTACTCTGGAGGAGTACCTTCCTCCAAGCCATCTGAATCCTTAATGAGGAGGCTGCCAGGAGCTGCTACTGCTAGCTGAGCAAAATACAGCGATGCCGCAATATACACAGTGAACTTTTAGAAATTTGTATAGTGGTAAATTTTTTGTTTTATTCAATGTTTTATGCTTACAAGAAAAGACATTTCACATGTATTGCACCAGATAGGCCTGTCAAAAAAGATTCCTGATTCTAAAACAGGTCAGGAAGCATTTGTGCTCCACTGAGACCAAGACCTCACCAGCAAATCTAAACAGATCGTTGTACAGACGCAAAAAACCTTCTAGCAAACTGATCAAACACTACCAAATCACATTTTGCTTTGTATCACAAGAAATCCCCTGTCAGTATTGCTACTAAAGGGAACATTTCCTACTTTGTTTGGCTTTCTTGTTTGACCGAGAGCGTGTCATAATCATCCTCATGCATGTTGCTCATTCTTATTCACATCCAGCGTTTGTAGCAAAACAAAAAAGCAATTACTACCAATTACTCGCAGAGTGAGAGCTCCGATTTCCAGTCATTAGCAGCAGGTAGTTAAGAGTCTAGTATATATTTGAGACAAATTCACAATTGATAATGAAAAACAAATAAAGAATTAAATGTTAAATATAATAAAAATATAATGCATTATAATAAAAAAAAAAAAAATCATCCGTTTTTTATTTTTTTTAATCTTGGCTAAGAAGTTAAGAGTTTGGCACAGAATGCGATACTTGGGAGTCAAGCAGTGGGGCTTTCAACCCCTACAGTCTGATTAGTTGCCTGCTGGTGATGTCTCAGTTCTGTAGTCATCTTTTAATTCACTTCACTGTGGAACACGGAAGAACACAGCTTTGCCTATTGGTGAGAGATTTAAGGGTCAATGACGTATAAGAGTGTCCACATTAAATAAAAGGAAAAATCCTTTGCCAAGTACTCGCTGTATTCAGCTATATATATATATATATATATATATATATATATATATGAAAATGAAAACTGAAAATATAACAATAAAACTTAAAAATTCAAACTATTAATAATAAAATGTATAGTTTATATTTTAGTAAATAAAAAAATACTCAAATAACAGAACAGTTGTATTACATTTTTGACTGTTTTGCCCTTTAAAAATATCAAAATGAATTTTAATGCAGAAATGCATGTTTCGTGCAATAAATTATTAGATAAATGTCATGTCAAATTCCAGATATAGGGTGGCCCTTTTTTGCGCAGTATGTGACTGACCAGTAAAAGTGTCTCACAGACAGCAGGAGGGTGCAAGGTTGGTTTGACATCATTTCTGGGAGCAGGTCAAATGGGTTGTGAGTGACATTACCATCAGTACCTGTCGTAAACATTCAGCAGCCAGTTGAGACACATGTCGACGCACAGGGGGATATTGATCAGGACGGACCTCTCCTCCTCTAGTTTCTCATACAGGGAAGTGAGAGCGTGGATGACCTCGACCACATCCATCACATGCTCGGCATGCTGCAGCTCCTGTTCTCTAAACACATCCGCCACGCTGCTCAACTTCAGAAGGTCCACTAGAAACACACACACACACATATATAAATAGGCCAGATGCGTATTACTGTACGTGTGTGGAGTGTTAACTAACTGGATTTGACTGCTATAATATAATTTCCTCTGGCAATCTCTAGTGCGGCAGTGAGAGTATAGGGTTAAGGCTGTATGCTGATGTCATCCTAATTGGATAATGAGCTGAAATATGGAAACAGAGTGGCCATGGTGCTTTCAGTGTTAGGTGGGCAGCTAGAGATTCTAACAGGCCTTTGTAGATGCTCATTTTATACAGACATCAATCATCAGAGCCAGGCTCACAAAACAGCACAGTTTCTATAGCAGCCTGGTTATTAATTCAGTTAAAGGGGTCATATGATGTTGCTAAAAAGAACATTATTTTGTGTATTTGGTGTAATTAAATGTGTTTATGCGGTTTAAGGTTCAAAAAACACATTATTTTCCACATACTGTACAT